CCATCTTAATGGGAAAACGTATGCAAATGTCGAAGGTGTTAAAGAGGACATCGGCATGTTTTTGCTTAAAAGCCAAGTGATTGTAAGATGGAAATGCATCATCGATAAGAATGGAGACCATTTCATTTAATAAATGTTTTGTTTTGATATATAAGTTGTTCGGGTTTTTTCATCTAGAAAAATGCGACATTAATTTTTTGACGACCTAATAGATACTTTTCGTAGGCTATAATGCCTACAGTTTTTAACTGCTGCATAGTGGCTCATAGAATGGCTCTGGGTTTTTTTTCAAGTACAAACTTTTAGCTCATAGCCCCATCTCTTGACCGATTTGAGATCCAATTACAGTCGCGGCTATTAAGGATTTCCTCTGGTTTATTTTAGTACAAAGCTACACAAAGGGCTGTTTGTACTGTGTCTATCAAGTGGATTAAACCACGAAATTTACAATGCGTAAAAACAAATTCATTGAATGTAATATGAACTTACCTAAACTTGTCAAACGTTTTAAATTTAGTTTTTTATTTATCACTGTGTTGATTGATTTACATTTTTTTTATTAGTCACTTTCTCAAAACTATCTACATGCGCACAGTTCTTTAGTGTTTCTTTGCTGGTAAACATTTAAGACAAACAGCAATAATGCCTCAATGAAATTCTCAACGTACGTGAAAATACGTTCTTGTAAGAAAAAGTTACTGGTACTTTATTTTTAATTTCTGTTTGATTCATTTGTTTATTGAATTCTGTGCAAAACTACTCGAGGACCATCCACAATTTGAAAATAATAGACCAGTGGGAAAGCAGTTAGTCAACAATACCCCAAACTAACTCTTTGTCAATGAATAGTGGGATTGACCATTACATTATAACACCACTACAGTGGAAAGGGCAAGCATGTTTGGTGATAGGATTCTATCCCACAACCTGCAGATCACGAGTATAGTGTTCTAACCACTGGTAAAGTTAAGTCCTATCTCAGCTAAGATAAAACCTGTTATAAAGACTTCTCCATCCGAGTTGTGTTTGACTCCTTTAGTGTAAGTCAGGATTGGGAAACCCCTTCACCAATAACAGTGAACTAGTCTGTGAAACAAAAAAAATGTTGCTCAATCTTTGTTTAACAAATTCATGTGGTTTATGTGTATTTTACCTACCATTCACAATTTCTGTGATTAAAATAAGTTTAATCAAATTCTTTTAAATCAGCCAATGCTAAGTATGAGAAGATGTAATTTTCATGTTAAATCAAGAAAGTTCTGTCAAGAGAAAATATATGAAGAAGAAAAAAAATAAGTTAACATAAGATGTAAATGTACTGATAATTCTAAATAAGTAACACAAAGCATTACACCAGTTTTCCAGGTTAACAGGTAATTTAATGAGCAGTATACAATATTTACACTCGTACGTATTTACAGGATTATTAAAACAAAGCATTACACACTGGTTGTAAATGTCAATAGGTAACTTAATCAGCAGTATAAAATATTTACACAAGTGTTTATTTACACCTTAGTTATAATGCAGTATTATTCACAATCCAAACCTAGCAGGAGTTCTTCTGGGAGTGACTGGAGTTCCTGGTTCTCTCCGTCCTGGTGTTAAAATATTACTTCTGAAAAATGAAATATTAAGGTCACGTTAGCCTTTATTTGTATATATATAGTTAAAGACCAATACATATTGCTGTGATATAAATATGTCATTCGATCCCTTCTTGAGTAGCATTGTACATTCCATTATTACAATATTGCAGTTTTTGTACTCAATTTCAAAGCTACCTAAACAAGTTTTTTGTTGATTTCACAGTAGAGTCTTTAGTTTTTTGATGTCATATTCATTCATCTTGTAATAGCACTAAAAATTGCTTATATCATTTTGATGTCTACTGCTCTCAGTTGTGTAATTTCGTCATCTTGCTAACTGTACATGCAGCACACATTTTACTGGCATCCAGTATTCAAAACTTATATGGAATAAATCTTTGAGCTTCTTCAACATTCACTGTTTTATAGCTATGGGACGACAAAGAGGAAAACGTCTCTTTTAAATGACAGAACAGTTAATCTTGTTTATTTCAAATTTATTGTAGCTAAAAAGTGATATACAGATGAAGAAGTAAGTGAATGGATGCTTGAAAAACACCAGGACTTATCCCAAAACTTCTGTGAAAGAACACTATTCTGCTGAATATACGAGGTGGTTTGTCATGTGATTTACATATATAATTAATAAAAACTTGTAGACTCCCTTGGAATGCATATAGCCAAGGAAAACATATCTCTGCAAAGATAGAGAGCAAGGTTAGTATTTGTTGCAGAGTCTATGATGCTTCACACACATAACCAAGTATCATCCCACTGTTCCTACAGTGCAAAACAGTGAAAGAGTCAATCTCTGGAATCACTACTGTTGTGTCGATCATTTAATCAGAAAAACATATTACCAAATCACCGAATAAAAACTAACTTTTATGTAGAAAATAATGGTTCAATTTCTTAAAATTACCTCTACTGAGTTATAGGATAACTGAAATAGCAAGGGGGGACAAGAAAGTAGACAAAACTACACATCCCATGGCTATACTCACATCACTTGTTACTATTTTATAATTACTTTGATATTACCTTTTCACAAAGAAACCCTAATTTGACATCCAGGTGTCAATGATACTTCTCCTTAAAGACAAAAAAGTCATGCTATGAAATTCAGGACCACAGGAAAGTTGAATCAAGCATCCTGAGATAGTGACCCCTTTATCATGTCTACTCTTCAAAAATGAAACTTTTTTAAATATAACGTTTATAACATTATGCAAACATGCCTCATAAAAAATTCACTGCAAAAATATCACAGTTTCAAATACAATTTAAAATATTTGTATGATTCTTAATTATTACTAAATGATTTGGAGTAAAGTTATAGTAATGTTATCAGAAATAAATGGCAAAAAAAAAACAACTAATAATTTTTCAAGAAAGTATCATGTTTTAGTCAACAAGATCTCATCACCTTCTACTAGAAAACTGATTTTTAGCTTCTTGTTCTTCTTTCCGTCTCTTCAACTGCTCCTCTGCAATGACCATCTCTTCTTCCATCTGAGATAGATTTTCTTTTGCCGCACGCTTTCCTTCCTGAAAAACAATTTACACCATAAGTTGTAATGTGATTAAATCATCAATAGAATCTCATTTCTCATAAATAAAAAAATCTGATAAAGATAAGAAGTGAAACTGTAGATAGCTTCACATTTGTTTATCTTTTACATATTTGATTTACTTTTCAATTCTAAATCTATTTCCCTGCTTAAATAATAATGCCACTGACTTCAATATAGAGCTGTTGTTTATGTTAAAAAAATCTTTCTAATTAGTTTTGAACCTCTATTAACAACAGAGAAAATCAATCATAATACATGACATAAAGCTGATATATGACTGTAGATTTAAAAAAAAGTAATTACGATGAAATTCCAAGTTATAAAAAAAAGATCATTTTCATCTAAAGTTTTCAGTCAGTTTTTTGCTCCATCAACAGACTGTAATATAAATTATTTGCTGGGAACTATGGAATTGGCTAAATAATTCTTAGTAATTAACTGTTAATGGTAAGAAAATTACAAAATAATCTTAACATTTCAAAGGAAATAACAGTCACTGACCAATCGAGACTTTCCTGATTCCTTGACAGCATAGAACATGGGCCCAAGCTCTGCCAACCAATGACCATCAACTGCTGTTACACACTGCATATATTCCTGGAAAAATGAATTGAAATTCACAGCTAAAGATCTGATAAATGTGTTGAACAATGGAAGTTTCTACAAGAGAAGAATATATGAGGAAACTTGATACCACCCACGTACATCCCAATAAACAATCTCATTATTTTATTTCACAAACTGTTCTAACATTTGAGGGATATGACAAGAAATATTATCATAAGTACAGTGAATATAAATAAATTTTAATCTATCTTTATTTACTGTCCATTCAGTTTTCAATTGATTATTTTAATAGTCACCACTGTGTAAGGCTGAAATGTGCTTTTCTGGTTTTCATTCATACATCATTAATTTTACAAAAACAGCTGAAATGGATGGTAGTATAAACTGTTCATAAAAGAACACAAATATATAAAAATATAACACCATCATAACCTTTTTAAGGGTCATGATCAGGTTAAATACCTTGCCGATTTAACCTGATGATGGTCTATATGAAACACTGTTATATTTGTTTGTACCAAGGATGAGAATAAAACATGCAGGAAAAAGCTGGAGGTTAACATTAATTACAGCCAAGTCCTCGATCAGCACTAGTAGTCTGGAGGGAGGGGCAAAAATGGCAGAAAATGAAAATCTAATATGTTTCAACTTAATATTTAGATACTGCTGTAGAATTACTATTATTATTAACATTAGTGCTTCTTTGTTGTTTATCTCCTATAATTGTGCCCTAATAACAGTAGCAAATACTTTAAGTTTCCAGAATGGGACATGTAATTCTTTAAATCTGATGTTAGTCCAAGATAAGGATTATCCATTTAAAATTAACCTTGTGACTTCTGTGTATTCTAATTGTGTGTTATTTGTAATATGGCACCAATCTCTCAAGGCAGCCAAGCAAAGATTTTCATATTCCAGTGTTTACTTACAGAACTTGTAACAGAGGTTTTCTGCAACATATGCAAAAGAATATTGTAGTTTTTATCTCATCAAATTTGAATTATTCTTTTCAATGCCCAGCAGCAAATCTAAAACAGTGGGAAAGAACATTCTCATCTCTGATATATTTATATCCTGTAATGAAAAGTGTATATTAGCCATATCAGCTGTCTCCATATCTTATTGGCTTCAAGTGGGTTCAGATACCTTGTTTGTTTGTTCTTATCCTAGAAAAGGAAGTTAATTATTGCTCAAGTACCTTACATTCATGAGAATGTTAATAAAACAATAACAATGAAAACATGGATACATACTAACATAACTTTTTTAAAAAATCTGAACAAAATGAACATATTTAGAACCCTTGGATAAGTGTATAACGATGATCTTGACAAGTGCAAGCTATACAGCTGCTCACATACAAACAGTTTTTTTCTGGAAAATATGATACACTAAAATAATTATTTGGTTTGGTTTGTTTCAAATTTCATGCAAAGCTACATGAGGGCTATATGCGCTAGCCATCCCTAATTTAGCAAAGAGGGAAGGCAGCTAGTCATCATCACCTACTGCCAACTCTTTTACCAACAAATAGTGGGATTGACCATCACATATAACACCCCCACGGTTGAGAGGGTGAACACGTTTGGTGGGATAGGGATTTGAACCTGCAACCCTCAGATTGCGAGTCTAGCACCGTAACCACGCCAAGTCTAAAATAGGTATTCGTTAGATTTGAAGAATGCAGTGGGTCACGTTTAGTTGAGATAGCCTCAAATATATCTATAACAATAGGTTAGTTGGTTGTTTGTAGTTAAACACAAAGCCACATAAAGGGCTATCTGTACTCTGCCCACCACGAGTTTCAAAACTCGGTTTCTGGCAATATAAGTCCATAGACATATTGCTGTGCCACTGGGGAGTTTTAAAACAATGACCTACTACATTACAAAAAGAAGCATAAGCTACATTTCCTACCTTTGCTGTCATTACAAGTTCGTGATAGACTATGTAGTCTGGTGTGAAGCCCATGCCAAAAAGGGCACTTGTAGGATGAAGATGGCATGGCATTCCTGTACGACAGTTTACATACTCTCCAATTCCCTTGAGGCGAGCAGCTTGATGGAAGTATGCTGAACAGATACATTTCCGTATAACATCCCACTCACTTCCACACGACACAATGTCCATTTTCTGCTGAACCATGATCTCTTTCAGCTGTTGCCGAACTTCTCGAACCTATCAAAATTCAGTGTTCCAAAAAATTAGCCATTCAAAACTTCAAAAAAAAAAAAACAACTTACAAAATATTATTACAAAGGCTAAAAACATTTGTATTTGTGACAAGTGATTGCTTATGTAACACTTATCTATTCTCGATTACAAATTAAGGTAAAACAATATCTGGTAAAAAGGATTGCTATATAAAAAGTTTTCTATAAAGTCATAAAAGAAAAACTTTTTCCTTGCTTTTCTTTTGGTATAAAAAATATCTGACTGATAAGCATTACTTAAATATGTTAATTTTATTATAAATTATTTGTTTATACTGTTTTTAAATTCTCTCACATTTGTCTGAATCATAAAAGAATGTTATTAATAACTTGTCAGGCTACTTCATTCACCAAAGGAAGAACCACTGGTGAAGAAAGATTGGCTCAAAAGAAACAATTCCCTAATTACACTTTGAGTTAGAAAAAACAAAGAAGTAACTACATTTAACCAGAACTCTTTGGTAAACAACGTTTTCAACTTCTTTCATTATTTTGCCCTCCAATATAATAAAGAAAGTTCAGAGTACTGACAACTGTATTCATGCTGATTGTAAATCCCATGGCAAATGAAAAACAATATAGACTTTTATGTGAATCTACACATGTAGTGTAGAATTTGTAAGTCATGGGTTCTCAAACTTTTTAGGACTGGAACCCCCTTCCATCTACCAGAATAACATTTCAGATGTCCACAAAATAAATTGAGTATATTTCTTGTTAGGATAATAAAATTCTACACATACATATTATTTTCAAGCTAAGAAAAAAATGCAACAGTAAGATAAAATATCTGTACAGCTTTTCAAAAAAGTTATTAATTCTTGCCATAAAGTTCTGTTTATAAAAAAATAATTAGCTAGATGGTTTTTGTATAGACAGCTCTGTCAAAAAATTTTTGACAGTAAAAAGAAAAATCATGTAGGATAGAAAAAAAAAAGATCTTAAATCATATACATGAAACTCCCATTAAACCCTTGTACTTTCAAAAGGTAGACCTGTTAAAAGTGTTAAGTTTTTATAATTTTTTTTTTTATAAAAGGCAGTTAAAGAGTTTTAATGAACTAGGTGGAAGTTTATGTGGCAGAAACTGGAAATCCTAATAGTTCAGTTAGTAAAGTATTGATCTTAAAACACAAGTGTGAGAGAGAGATTCTGAGTTCAGGACTCAGTTCAAAAAGAGAACTATTCTCCAACTTTAGAACATTACAGTATGTACCATAGGTTTCTTTCCTAGCATATTTAATTTTTCTTCTACAGAGATCCAAAATATGATGGCATGTTACAATTTAATAACACAAACGTGATAATTTGGCACATTTAATTCGTATCAGATATTAAACAGAACAAAAACAAAATTTCTTGGATATGAGTAAAAAATAAATATATTAATTAACTACTATAAGTACAGCCAACTAAGTAAACTGAAAATAGATAAAAATGAAACATTAATTACATGTTGATCACACAATTATAGGCATTAATTTTATAATTATCTTTAGGTTTATTTGAAATCAATATAAAGAGCAAGAAAACCTAATACAAATATATTAAGATGTCCATTTCTTGGAAGAACATTTATGGCCAATTTAACATATACTTAATGAAGACAAGAACTGAAAACCACTTACTTTTTTCATAGCCTTTACATGAATGAAGTGTTCATTACACCACGATGATGAGTAGCTGGTGACGATAAAATAGATAAAACTCAATGTTACAAGTTTCACATACCAAATCGAGATTTCTTTCTTATGTTTGTTTTTTAAATCATTTCTTAGCAAAGATATTAAACTACGATCTCTGCTTTTTATTAAAAAACATTTTGAGAAACTTGATACTTTGATAACTACAATATTTTTTCTAGTAAAGTGTAAATAAATTTTAAGATATGAAAAATATTTCATTCATTAAATACAAGAAAAACTGATGCACAGAAAACAAGTGTCTACATGTTTTTTTTAATAGAGTTCAGCCTTCCCTCTTACTGCCACACTTCATTGTCTTGTAACTGAATAAAAGATTTTTAGAAAATTAATTATGAACTGTAAAACTAAAAATTAAATCAAATATTTCAAAAAAGTTATCAAAAATTACATGTGTCCCATTTCATAATAAGGTGGATCTTGTCATAAGAATAAAGCTGAGTCTATCAACAACTGATGGTCATTTTATGGCAGATTCCAGTGTGAGGTTCAGAAAATAATTAGGTCATAAAATAATATATTTCTTCAACTTAGTTTTATAATATATACAATATTTGTTCACTGCTAGTGACACATGGGACTTCAGAGAATAAAAAATCAGAATAATTCAGATTTCAGATAACATAAATGCTAATAAGGCACACACACACCTTTTTTTAATCCCCACAAAGTGGTAATTGTATATCAGATTTCAGTTATGAGGTTTTAAGATGATACTGCTTTGATGACTGTTAACAACTACAAACCTGTTGTTACTCCACTGTTGATAAACATTTAAAAATGTTAAATGATCACTTTCTGGGACCTGAAATTTTTCTCTTGCAGCATCACTCTCTTCCTCTCGTCCTTTAGGTCTGTAAAATATTGCCGGTACTGACAGCATGGAAACGATAATCTAAAAACATGAAAATATGATTTTTGAAAAGGAGATCACACAACACCCCAAAACTATCAAATCTGACAAGACAGGGTGTAATAAAAGGTGGGAAAATCAATGTTGGCTTGAGCCAAATGGCTTTTTCTGGAAGGAGCCACAAACCAGAAAATGGTTGCAAAAACTGATACATGAGTATGATAGTGCATATGTGAGCATGAGAGCACAAATATACTACATTAAATCAAACACCAAAAAGGAGGTAAAAGTGTGCCTCAGCAGCTGTATAGTTAACCATTTCTAAGTGAGGCAAAAGAAGGACAGTAGTCTTTTTTATACAGTATTTAACATATTTAACTTTAAATTTATAATTTTAGTTAAAATACAGGAAAAAAAAGCTGCAAAATTTTATTTTCATCCCAAAATGTGCATACAATGAATACAATTTTCATTCTGTTTGTTTTGAATTTCGTGCAAAGCTACACGAGGGCTATCTGCACTAGCTGTCCCTAATTTAGTAGTGTAAGACTAGAGGGAAAGCAGCTAGTCATCACCACCCACCACCAGCTCTTGGGCTACTCTTTTACCAACGAATAATGGGACCATCACATTATAACACCCCACGGCTGAAAGGGCGAGCATGTTTGGTGTGACGGAGATTCAAACCCATGACCCACAGATTGCGAATCGAGCACCCTAATCACCTGGCCATGCCAGGCTGTTCCATTCTGTTCAATCTCATTAGTATTTTTTTTTCATTTATATATGTATTTTTGTGCTCAGCTTGTGTTTGGGCTGTAAAGCCAAGCCAATGGCCTGGCTCGGGCGTGGCTCAACCTTGAAAATCACTGACTCACCCATGCACAGATTAAACTATGCTAATTTAAGAAATTGTAGAGTATCAAATCCTAATTTTTCTCATAATTCTTATATTCCACTTATGTCTCTCTCACATTATCCATGCATTTGATCATCAATCAAAATATACTGGATAAATATCACTCCATTTCTTTGACAAGGTACTGTTAAGGTACATCTACAGTCACAATACCTTTAAACATTTCAACTTAAGAAACAAATGCCATATACTTTCTTCAATCAAATTTTTATCTCCTCCAATTTTAACTTCACTATTTGTCCTTTATTCAATATGTACACTTACACTCACAATTTACTAACACTACTTCTGTAACCATAGTAATGTTTGTGTTTCTAAGTAAACATTTCATAATTCTAACAATAAAGAAATGGCCTAGTTCAACTAACTTTTGTAGTCTAAATTTCCATGTCCCCCCCTTTCCTTGCAAATTGCCTAATTGAAATTATACTCTTGTTATCCTCGACTGGAAGAACAGCCTCACCAAGCTAACTGACTTCTATAATGAAAATCTTCTTGTAGTTTTTATTCTTATTACTCTTATTTTATTAGAAGTTTTCTTGGAATTGCAGGCTTCTTATTCTACCCGAGTAGGGTACAAACCTCGTGGTTCTTACCAGCTTTAGTAATCTTGATTTACCTGAACAATTTTTTATACCTCCTGTTCCAGCCAATCATTCTATTTGTGAAGGCCAAGTACTAGTACTGCAAGAATTCAGTGAAATTAGCTCATTAAGCTGCTGAAAAACAACTTTGAAAAATGAAAGTCAGTTATTGGCATCTTGGTTTTTTTCTACCTACTTTTTTTTCTACTTTTGAAAACTTAAGTGTAAGAAAGAAATTAGAAATGTAACTCATTTATAATGCAATAAATATTTTGGTAACACACAACTAATAAATAAATTTGGTCACTAAGGAATCACTGTAAGCTATTTCTTTACCTTTTCCTCATCACTCACTTACTAAATTTACATCTCATTCAGCTTAAGGAAAATATAACATTAAAGTAGTGGAAGAAGTTATTATTTTTTGTACTTAGATTTTCTCCTGCACATTTGATTAGGTTACATCAGTTAAAATTACACCACAGTCTTTGATTCTACATCAAATCTCAGCAGTTCAACATACCAGAATTTCAGAACTACACCCCATTTCACAGGAAACAATGAGCATCTTTGACAGTGCAGGATCAAGAGGAAATTCAACCATGTTACGTCCAAGTGGAGTAAGGTTACCCACATTGTCCAATGCACCCAAGATCCACAATTGGTACATGGAGTTAAGCATATTATCCTACAGGAAAAGAAAATGTTCAAGTGAAGTAGAACATTATCAAGTGGACTCATGGTCACAATTCTAGGAACAATTAAAATATATTTGTAAATGCTACAATATCAAATATTATATGTTAAAACTGAAAAATAAAGTTTAATTTCTATAGGTTTTTATTGGGTAGTGTTGTTGGTTTTAATAAATGGTAAAATGTTTAATTGTAATGTGAAACCATTTTAATAACACTTCTGTTACTAAACACAAGTACAGACATACTGATGGTTACACTTCTGTTATTAGACACAAGTACAGATATTGTTGGTTACACTTCTGTTACTAGACACAAGTACAGATATTGTTGATTACACTTCTGTTACTAGACACAAGTACAGAACTACTGATGGTTACACTTCTGTTACTAGACACAAGTACAGAACTACTGATGGTTACACTTCTGTTACTAAACAAAAGTGCAGAACTATTGATGGTTACACTTCTGTTATTAGACATAAGTACAGACATATTGTTGGTTGCACTTCTGTTACTAGACACAAGTACAGAACTATTGTTGGTTACACTTTGTTACTAGACACAAGTACAGAACTATTGTTGGTTACACTTCTGTTAATAGACCCAAGAACAGAAGTATTGATGGTTACACTTCTGTTACTATACACATGCACAGATGTATAGTTGGTTACACTTCTGTTACTAGACAAAAGAGCAGATGTATAGTTGGTTACACTTCTGTTACAAGACAAAAGAACAGATGCATAGTTGGTTACACTTCTGTTACTAAACACAAGTATAGAAGTATTGTTTGTTTTATACTGAAAATGATCAGGGGGACACAAAGAAATAAAACATTTATACTAACAAACACTTTTTAAACACTTAGTTTTCAGACGAAATATAAATGAAACTGAAATGACAGGTCCATTGCTAAGAAACATATTTCAAAACATACAAATGCACATCAAAATAAATTGATTCAAAATGTTGACATTCTCTGTTAATAAATGAAGCTCATTTATTAAAAAAACATCTAAAGGCTTAGTTAAAACTACTGTATTTTCAATTCTCACCACTGAGGAATAATTCATCTGGTGTTATACTTAGCATGCACTTTCCACCTAAAAGCAACAAAACCAGTATATGATCTAGAAAGAGATATAGAAAGATTATTTTTTGAGATTAACAAATTATTGCTTTACTTCCCACTTCTAGGAATCAGTATATTTAGCTAATTACTGTATTTCTCATCAACAGTTTTCTCATCTATTTTTTACCTTCAAACTGATGACTTCATTTGCCCTTTCTGAAGGAGTACACTGAGTTAACTGCTTTTATACACTCAATCTCTTTCTTCTGATTGAAGAAGTAAAAATATACTTTACACTTTAATTTTTTAAACCCATCATATCTTGCAGGTTTTGCCAGAATTATTTTCATGATGTCCTACTAATTATCACCATACCTTATAAAATTTCTGGTCTATTTATACAAGGTGGATTATAATATGGTTAGGATTACTTTTCAGCCAGAGGCTAGTAGCGTCTGCTCAGGTTTAAGGAGTTAAAACCACTGAAGACCACTTGGTTATTTATACATTCACTTCTGAATGTGATGTTTCACTGAGATAACTAACAATAGCCTTACCTTTACAGAAATAATTACTTAAAAGATTTTTTCAATGTTTTATTCACCAATTTCGTAGGAAGAAAGATAAGAATGAGCTAATCTTAGTTGGATTTTACAATTCTTGGTTGCACCAAATTCGTGGAAAGCCTGCTTTCAAAAAGTAATTCTGGGCTAACCCAAAGACACTGATCAAACCAATTTGAAGTGACAACTTATTCAGTCAATAGTGTTTTGAATGTCTAACTGTCCTACTAAACTGTAGGGGTTCAGGAGGCACAAAGCAATACCATTAACTAGTTCTGTTACAACCAATGAAGAAAAAATTTGGAAAATTACAGCTGCCTGTCCTGTAAGACCCAGTGGTTTAGTAAGGGTATCTAGTTGGAAAAGGGAAATATAGATTAGCAATACCATTAACAAATTATTATTTGTTTCACAGCTTTAAAGGGCAGCTTAAACATCACACTTATTAATCTATTGTTTCTTGAGTCAGTATATTCAGCTTCTTCAGTGATCACTCTAGAACAGCTAATTCTAGCAGCAGACAATAACTTCCTACAATCACAAATGTAGGAGCAACTCACTCACTTAAGAACTCCTTTATTACTACATCCTAATGATGAACCTCACTGAAGTAATCGCTTAATAAACACCTTTCTGAATTCAAGACACTATAAAGAAGCTTTGTTTTACTTTTGGTTAGCTAGCAACTCTATCTGATGATAATGTCCAAGATATTTCTAGCATTGTGCAAAATTGTTAAAATAAAATGTAACAAGATTGTTTATTTAAAATAACTTTACTGAATGTTAGTTTTTCTACGCTACATTCTGTACTCTATAAAAATTAACTTTTTAACAGTGTCGTATCAGCTCCCCATATTATATATTTTAGGAATGAAAGTTTAACAATTAGAAACTATATGATTAACAGCTATTTTCCTTTTACCTCTGGTGGAGGATCCATGAAATGAAACTGTAATAGTTTCTGGACTCCCAGAGACTTGAGGAGCAAAACTACATTTGACAAGTTGGTCCTCTGGATCTCTGGCACAGTTGTCACCAGCAATTCCTGCTTGTACTGACTTTCTGTGTAAAGCCGGAAACAGTGACTGTGGAGAAATATATATAAACATCAGACTATACTTCCCACATAGATAAACCATGCTTTCCTACTTAAGTTATTATTTCAATTTACCATTAATGTTTTTTGACAATGATAATTAACACACCAACACCATATCTATAAAATATCATTTTAAATAACAAGTTATCACTTACGTCTTTAATAAAGAGCTTAACAACATTACAAAGATTCTTGTACAACTTTAACCAAATATATACCACTATACTTTATCTAAGATCTATGTTATTTAATTTCTTTAAATCTCACATTCAGAGAAAACTACCAAGATCTTTTATTCCATATCCTGTTTGCTTACTGCCAATGACTCTTGGTATGATGAAAATATTCAATCAATAACAAAATATGAAAATACTCATTGAAAACACAGTGAGTTATTGTATTCATGATATAACTACACCTTCTTAATGAAAACCCCAAAATGGCATCACTGCAAAAACAATTGTTATTGCTTTAAAGGTGATAGTTTACCCTAAAATAGAGCACTGTTTTAATGTTTTGTACCATAATAACACTATTAATACATGAAAGTAATTAACAGTAATAATATATGTATTTTTTTAATTACAAGTATTAAATGTCAATGATTAATTGGGGGGGGGGGGCAAAAAGGTTTTCCTAAAATTTGGAAACTAAAGATATTATTAATTTCTGTTACTTACCCATGTTCCACATACAATTCTCTCCAGATCTTTAGATGGCAGTTGTTTGATTGAACAAACAAACAACAAGAAGTATTAAAATACCTATTATTTACTTCTGTCCTGTCCTAGTAGCTCCTTCAGACCTTTGGTTCGCACTACTTTAGTTTACAAACATATCATATGAAAACACATTTTTACTTACCCAGGTTCTGTTCTACTAACATTTCCAGATCCTTGGCTGAAGCTAGCAAGATGGAAAAATAACCATATAAACATCTCATTCTAAAACATGTACTACTTACCCAGGCCCTGTCCTACCAGCTCTTCCAGATCTTTGATTTGCATTAGCCTGATAAAAAAAAAAAAGCATAATAAGAAGAAACTTTTTGAAATGGTAAAACAAATTTTAATTACTTCCATTCTGACAATCACACCCATGGCATGACCTGCAAAATGTCCAGATAAGAACATTCTTGTGGTTATTTGTGCTTACGTAAAATTTAAGAAGGTGAAATGGTGACCAAACAATCTGACTGAATTTTGTGGAGTAATACGGAACAATATGCACAATTATTAATCAAAAACAGTATAGTAGCAAAAAGGTGTAATGCCCTATTGTAAACCTTACAAGTAAAGGGTTAACATACAAAATACTAGTGTATTGTCCAACTTATTCGCCTTTCTTTTGTATTTTCTGCGATAATGGTCTGTTTCATTAATAAATTCACCATCCAGTTACCATTATTCATTTATGACACATATATGTGTATTGCTTATGACTTTTCACAACCATTTCAATAACTGTACATTATTAAAAGTTATGTCATAAATTAAGTTAAAATCAATCCATGCACATATATGGACTTCTGTTTTCATTTCGTTATAAAACCCAACTGAACTGCAGCGAGATTAAAAGTTTATACATTGTTACAACAGTTATTACTAGTTCCCAGTGATGTCACATAAACAAAGCACATGGCTAGTTTTATAGATTTAAAACATACATTAGATATTAAAGTTTGATAATCAATGACTACTGAATGAATAAGGTCAAAATCAATTCCCAAAAAAGAAAAGAAGGTAAAGAATCAAACTAAATTTTTCCTATAAAAGTGGTTATATTTTTAAACATAAAGCTTTTTTCTATCTTGCTTTCAGAAACAGAAGCTTTCTTAACTAGAATTTTTATGCAGTATTTTGTAATATTGTCTAAAATAACACTGGAATGCTCTAAAATATTATATATCTGTATCAATTACAAGAGCTTTTAAATTATGTCACATCCTCTAATACAAAGAGGTTGGCAGTTTTCTAAATGGCTTTCTGATATCCTAATTAGCATAACTTATAAGACACTAGAACCTGATAGTTTGAAGTTTACTCAAAGATTTTATAGTAAACTGGGTTCAGTTTCATTCTTTAGTTTGATTAAGAATTTTCAAGCAAAACAACACAAAGGGGGCCATACCTACTTTTGAACTAACTGACCAGAGGTAAAGAAGTTAGTCACAAATACTCAATACCAACTCTTGGGCTACTCTTACCTGACCAAATAGGGGGATTTGACTTTCTTTTACTATACTTATGGGCCTAAAGTGCAGAACATGCTTTAGAAGCAACAAGTACATGAACCTTGAACATTCAGATTCAGGATCTAAGAAAGCTAAACACTAGGATATGCTCAGCCTTATATTTCATTGTTTAATCCTATATGCACAGGTGAGGGTCAAATTGTGCATGCCCAATCTTGTAAAAAGTACCATTCAACATGGTATTATGAATTTGAAGTCAGGAGTAATTGCTGATTTCATGACAGTCCATGCTAAAGTAAAGAAAATACCAGAATACAACATACACATATATAGACTTCTGTTTTCATTTAATTACAAAACCCAACTGAACTTGGAACTCAAGAGATACTGAAAAAAACTTTAAATATACATTTAGGAGGTTATAGAAATTATGAAAATACAATTTGCACATGATGTGATGGATAAAACTATTTTTATTCTTCACATGAACATCATCTGGCACTGACTTGTCAGAGTCTGAACCACTGATTTTGCCATTTCACAAACATATCTTTAGTACAAAAATTATATTAACACATCTGACTTTTTGTGCACAACAGACTTGTATTGTTTACTAAAAGCCTGATAAACTTCATGATCATACACTTAAAAAATTTGAAATTATAGTCAACATTACTTCTTCAATACAAGGTTGGTTCATTTGACTGACCCCGTACACATTCAATTGATGCAAACAGTCTATTGGTATAATGTCAGCTTCCACATAGCATCCTTTAATTGTTCTCAAAAGTTCCTCTAGAAGATTATCACAATTTAGCTAAAAAATACATTCAACTGATTAATGTACTAGAATTTACTTCTCTTGTTACACTCTCACTAACACTCTAGATTTTGTAACACTACAAACATAGTTTGTTTTTAACAAAACTTTAATAAGAGTAAATGAAATAATGAAACAAATACTGATACAGTGACTAGTCTTTTGTAACCTAATATTATTGTGACTTGTTTTAAAGAACATCATCACTGCCTTCTTTTTTTAAAATACAAACATGATAATGTACCATGTCAACTGTGAACTAAAAAACAGCCAACACGCATCTTGCTCCAATCAGAATCTAACTGAACTGATCAATGATGTATGGGATGTTAACTGAAAAGCAGACCTCTAAATGTCATTACACTTTGTGGTTTTTTGCAAGAAAAGTAACAAGAATGTACTGGATGTCAAGTAAGGAGCAGACCTCTAAATCTCATTACACTTTGTGATGTTTTGCAAGAGAAGTGACAAGGACGTAATGGATGTCAAGTGAGGAGCAGACCCCTAAATCTCACTACACTTTTGTAGTATTTGCAAGAGAAGTGACAATCCATTCCATGACATAAGCAATGGCAAATGATGTAGCATAGTCCAGGCTGTGATTAAAACCAACAGTGGGCACCCCTACACAAATGACGTTCAATCCATCATCCACAACTAATAGTTCAGGATGCAGACCAACACACACACTAGGAAGAGAGAGAGAGATTCATACTGCTGGATTGTAGCTAATAAATTGCTCATAAAAGTTATAAATGGAAAGCCTACTTCTATGACTCTCTATTAAAATGGGACGAAACAGTTAAAATTGGCAACTTTCTTCCAAATGTGTGATGTCCCATTACTTTTGGTAATAGTGTATATATGTTTGAATAAATATAGGTATCATTGTTTCTTTAATAAGCACAAATGAAATGTTCTCTAAATATATTTTCTAAATTACACAACTCAGCAGCATCTGCCATGTACATATTTCTAAAAGATGGAATGTCTGCTTACCTGACTAATTGGGTACACTTGTAAGGCATCCATACCTATTCTTGGATTGTATACCTTTAACTTACAGTAACCACTGTCAATGACAAACATGATCCCATCCACTGGAATAAAAAAAGTTTTTAGGAAGCCATTAAAATAACTGCATTCAGATTGGTATTTAAGTTATCAAATTTGTACACTCATATTTATTTAGGATATGAAAAAGTTGACATTTTTAAATGGGCACAGAAAACTTTACTATTAAGATAAAGTAATAAGACTAAAAGCAGCTTATATTTACTATTATTCTACAAGTTTCATTAACTAAAATATATTTGTTTTAGAAGATGTAAACATTTTAGTTAACTCTCTTGCCACAGGTATCCTTTATGATATATGACACAAGGTTTTAGTGTCTTACATTCAAAATTTTATTAAATTATTTCTTGTTTATGTTATACCAATTAGTATAGCATAAGATCTTAACTAATAATCCATATTCTAATAGTATATAAGTTTAAAGTTCTTAATTTTATAAGGCAATATTTTAAAAAATCCTGAATTTCCCCTAGTGTGACACGTGACACATTTTCTCTAGTATCTTTTCATCTCTATTTTATTCACCACCACCCCAGAAACTACAAAATTAAACATAAATTACTCACTATAAAATCGTCATTGCTCAGACAAACCATAATTTTATAGCCTTCAATTTTGTTTGGTTACAGAGCTATCAAATAGAAACTCAGACCACTCCTGTCACATCCTTTCTTTCAGGATTTGTTAATAGTTCTCTGTTACGTTTAATTATACATTACCTATAACCAATAGAAAGCCAAGGATTTCCTCTATCAAAAGACATATTATATTGCATTCTTTTCTGAACAGAGAAGTGTCAATTTTACTTCCAATACAACTTTGGTTCCCACGGGAATGACAATGGCTAGCTTGAATGAATTTGTAACAGTTCTTGTCACATAGTTAGAGAGCCATAAAAATTGTGATTGTTAGAGAAAATTGTCTGCTTTTTGTATGTTATTAGTCTATGTTCTTGGTGAATTATTTAATGCACTACTACTATTAATATCAAAAAGTAGGGTTAAGTGTCAGAAAAAAAAATACTTTGGTAATTACTTTATTTCTTGTTTTTCATGTTTATTCTATATTTATTATTATAAAAGTACCTAAAATATAAAAAATAGAGATCTCTTTAGGTTAGTTAAGGTTATATTAGGTAAAATAAACAATAATAATAATATTTCACGAGGCATGCAACCACCTTCCCACATCTGGCTGCAGACAGCAAAAGGTGGTAAAGATGTGGGGCGTTGTGGACTAGAGCACCCACATCTGCTCAATTTTCTTTTCATGTGAGGCCAGCAAAATTGAAGTTAAACTGGATAGACAGTGTACCCCAATGCAATGTGGATATTACTTCTGCCAATACCTGTAAAAACTAGGGCACATTACATAATGACCCACCTTATGATTTGTGCCCTAGTGCTGGATGTTTGTGGCTGCAATTTTCTCTCTCTCTCTCTCAGGAATTTACATTTAACTGTATTCCATTTACGGTTAGGATATACTGCGTAAGATTTGCACTAGCCTTCTTTTCGATGTATTCAATTTTTAGCTTTTCTAAATAATTAACTTAAATATATATATATATATATATAGAAAGACCTATCAATACACAACAGATCAATCACACCTGTTAAAGATGTTTCTGCAATGTTTGTGGCTACCACACACTTTCGAACTCCATCAGGAGCCTTTTGAAAGATCTTCGCTTGAAGGTCACTTGGCAACTGAGAATAGATCGGAAGAATAGCCAATTGGGGAGCATCGTCTATTTCACCTAGCCTCTCTACAAGATTTAAAATTGTCAAGAATTACTACATATTTTCTGTCCAACTGTTCCCACCAAGTTTTCTGCACAAACTATTACAACACCACTATCTAATCTGTTTTAACACATAAAGTACACTAGTATATCAAACTGTCAAAAACCTAAATGTTTACATATCACAAATACTTCTATTATAACTTTAGATTATTGTTTGAAATCAATTGTCCAATCATTTGGTGTGATCAGCAAAACATAGATCATATCTCTACTTATAAAATTGTGTCTAGAATTTAAATTATGTAATAGCAAGGGGTAAAAACAATAATCATATGAAAACCATATTTCTTTATTTATATGCTATAAATCAAACTTTTTGTCAATTTCATTGGTTACCACAGTATCAGTTTAACAAATTTGTGACTATTGTTCAGTATTTGGAAAATCTGTACAGATAATCTATGTGTTAAATTGTGTTTCACACTCATCACTTCTTCCACTAGCTTTTTAGTGAGCAAAACAAACTGAAAAACAATTTTGTTTAATGAACATTTATAAAATTTAAATGCTGGCTGGTTACAAATTATTAATGAAAGTTTAAAACAACAATTAGCAACCCAATACATAACTCCAAAAAAGATATTCAAAGATCATTAAACAAAGACAGTCTGAATTATTAATGTAAAATAAGAGTTTTTGTCTTTTTTTTTGTACTTTAATTCAACTGAAAATCAACTTTTAGAAATTTTATGAAGCTTAATTCTGCTCAAGGCAGCTGTTCAGAAATACTCTTGAATAAAACCTGAATCACTTTTGTCTTATCTACCATTATTACAACCATAAACAGTTTAAACATATCTAACAAAATATTATACATTTTCATGCATAATATTTTAGAAAAAACAGTATTTCGATATTGTGGTTAACAAATAATGAACTATTGAGTGAAGGAAAGGTAATTAACATATACTGTTGCATAAGGTCCTCATGTAAAGATCAGAATATACTTTCAAATTCTGAATTAATTAGAGGGTCAAATCTATATCTGAAAAATTATATTAAATAGAAAAATTTACAAAAGTAGATGCAGAAAAAAAAAAGAGTGTCTAGTGAAATCAGTCATATACAAGTTAGAGATGTATCACCAGATAACACAAAGTTAACTGATTTCAGCAAAAGCCCCCCAGTGGCACAGCGGTATGTCTGTGGACTTACAATGCTAGAATCCAGGTTTCGATACCTGTGGTGGGCAGAGCACAGAAAGCCCATTGTGTAACTTTGTGCTTAACAAACAAAATTTCAGCAAAAAATAAATAATGGTGTTTCATCTACATTGAAAATCAACAACATTTTTGACAAAAAGTTGCATATGAGAAGCATGGAATATTAAACACACTAAGCAATATAAAGAACTTGTAAATGCATTTTAATATTTTCACATCACATGTGTGTTTTATTATATTCCACAAAAAAATATCTTTATTGTTTTACATAGTTTTCCAAAAACAAACTTAGTAGGAGAAAAATAAGAGAGTTTACAAGTGAAGTAGTAACTTCCACCTTCATATTATATACTTACATATTACATTTTATTTCAAGGTTTTTTTTTCATATGAGAAAACATACAAAATACAGATTATCAATGACAACGATGAGGTAATTATTTATACACTAGAGCGCTAATAATTTGGACTAACTGGGACCAAGGGTGGTCCAGATAATCAAAAATCGGGATAATTGGACATTATTACAAAATCTTATCTTGGCATTAACAAAAAACTTTATTTTGAACTTATTTTTTACAATATAATTAACACATACATACAGTTAATACAAATAAAAATCATTTAAGGCATAAATAAGAAATGATTCCATTTACTAACAAAAGAACCATTCTTTTGCATGTGGTAGACATTTTCCCCCCAACAAAGAGCAACTTTGATTTAAAAAAAAACGTTTTTAATTTTTAAGGAAACACAAAGCACGCCTATACTCAATAAGGATACGGTTGCATGTGACAATTCTGTGGCGAGATTTACCCTTTGCTACAAAGTTATCAAAGTATATTAGGACATGTTTAACACTTGTGTGTTTTTTACAAAGAAAATACATACATACATGTATGTACATATTTTTAATTTCAGTATTTGATCTAGATAATCAGCATTCTACTGTAATAGCAGAAATTGCATCCTACAGGAAGCTGTTTGTGCTAGTTATTACTAATCACAGTATTCATGCTTAATTCTAAAAAACTGTAAAAAAGAAAGTCAACATTTTCTAAAAAAAGCATTTTTTTCTGATAAGTACTGCATGGGAAAAGTGTTCGGATTGTGCTCTTTACTTATACGCAACTCATTGCATCAAAATGATTCAATATACAAGCTCAAAATTTTCATAAGTTTTATTGATATAAACTGTAATGTTTTGATATATTAAAAGTGCTATCATTTATTGAATAAATAATAGCTTTTAAGAATTCCGGTTTTTTAGTACTATGTTTAAAAATTACATCAATAAAGATATCATCGAACCCTCACTTATAGTCCTAGCGAAATTCATGTTCTTGTTTTGTGGGAGAGTACTTTTATTTAAAATTGAGCTCTGTATAAATAAATGGTTGTCGCACATACCATGGTTATTACTGAATACCCAAAGATATAAATTTTATGGATTTTCGTTTGTGGTGTGCCATTCAATAGATGGCACAACATTTCATAAGCCTCAATCACCACTTCTGGCATTGAGATCTTGTTGTACATCAGCACAATTTTTCTTTTAAATCCTCTTCTTATAAGTTTAAAACACACCCTAAAAATACAGAAAAGTCTTTAAACAATCAACATATCATCTCTGTATCAATATTATCAATATGTTGATGTTTAAGACTTTTCTGTAGTTTTGGTTTCATACATAGATACTGACATACACACTACATCCATTATAGTAAGATTATTACAGAAACCTGAGCTTATGTTAATTGTGAAACATCTCCAAAACAGAATGTTATGGTCTTCATTTTGAACAATCTGTATACACCTAAATAGCATTTTTTAAGACACTTATTCAATAAAAAGAAAAAAACTAATGGTTTTACCTGATATCAATTCACAAGTAACTTCAATATCTTCTTGTCCAGGCATGAAAATTAGGATATCCCCTGTTGACACAATTTAAAAAGCTTAAAAAAATAAGAGTAACACATATCTTTCTTGAATAAATTGGAATTCATATTAAAACAATGGTTATACACTTTTTCCTTAATTATTTCCTAGCTATCTTCTTCCCTTTTGATTGTAGCAAAAGTTCATGAATCATACAACAAAATTCTTAGATCTTGAACTTTTTCCTTTATTTCCAGTACTTGTTAAAGGAGTTTTCATTATTAATCTTGACAAAAAATAATAGTAACATTAAAAAGTTAAGCCTAACTCATTTCTCTATACTTACAGGCCTTCAGCAAGGAGTATTAAGCCATATTTCATATACAGTTGGTAAAAGTTGAACATTTTGAAAGCTAACTCTTAACATATAGCAACTTTGATTTCTCTTACACAAAATTTTCCATTACACTGCAATATTTATTTTTATTTCAATATCCAGCTACTCTACTTGAATTGGTCAAAATATTCATAAGAAATATTAAAGATTGAATAATTAATTCTAGTATTTTTTCTGCATCTTTAAATAACTGAATTTTTCATCTTTAACACTAATTTCTATCCAGAAAAAAAATTAGTTTTTGAAAACCAGACATACCAATACTGGGTTGTAAGTGAATCTGTAATGCTTGCTTGACAGCAGCATCAACATAGTCTTCAACAGGGTTTTTACTGAAATAAATCTCAACAGGAAATGTTCGTCCTGGAATTGTAAAAACTGGGACATTACCAAAGAAAGAGGCAAACTTTGAAGCATCCATTGTTGCTGAGGTAACAATAAGTTTCAAATCTTTTCTTCTAGCCACAACCTATCAAAAATGAATATCAATTACATAGTCTAAAAACTGAGCAACCCTATTTTCAAGGAAATTATAAATTACCTGTCTCATCTCTCAATATATCCTAAATATAACAAAAAAAAAAGAGCTTAAACTATGAATCTCTCTGTTTATGGTTTCCCTAACTATTTCCGATTAATAGCCATAAGAGAAAAAAAGTTGTTTTTAAAATATACAAATATATATATATATATTCTTTCTCTTATATCTTTAAAAGAATACCATTTTAATTCGTAATGAAACATAGTTAACCCAGTGTATGTTCTATCAAACTAACCATTTTTGATCAACAAAAAAAAGGAAAAGTAATAATCCTCTTTTTAATAAATTGTTAATCTTATGGAGATTAAAAGCTTATATATGATACGATACTGCAGCACCAACTAATTGCACTCTTCTTTTCAACAGGTCATTGTAAAAAAACCTCTCACAATGGCCAACAAAACTTCCAAATTATTTGATTCATATTAAAAATTCTTCCTTAATTTACAAAATTTTTACATTTACTGTGTACACATTATATGGGTAGAAGTGGAAAGTCCTCACAAAAATTAAAGTAAAACAGTCCTGTGAAGAAGCCTTAGCTGCTTGTTAGTATGTATTCAACAGAGACAAACAACATAGCATCATACAAATATCACAAAAGTTACCTCTCTTAGCAGTCCAAACAAAACATCTGTGTTTAGAGAACGTTCATGAGCTTCATCCATTATTATAGCACTATAATTGTCTAGATCAGGTTCCCTTAAAGACTCTCGTAGTAAAATACCATCAGTCATGTACTTGATCAAAGTTTTCTAAGGAAACAAATAAGACACTCACAAATTTATGATCAAACAAATCCTCAATAATTGAAGTAAACTTCACAAAAAAAGAATGAGACTCTACACTTTCATTTTGATCTGTCACATTCCTGTCAAAGTTTAGAATTTTCTGAATGTGTGGTTAAGAACCAGAAAATACTTTAAATTTCAATAACATAGACAAACATTCTCTGACTAGCTGTAACTAGAAGGATGCAAGTTCTATAGAGCTTAGCTCATATAACATTAGACAAGTCTCCATGTTGTGTCTCTTGAAATAGCCTGCCCAACATAAATTATATCATACACACCAGACTTCAATTTTAGCGAACTTCCTAGAGAATTAAAAAAAAGGTTATAGTTACTATTATTGTTTATCCACAGAAATAACAAAACCTGTATAGCTTTATAAAGTTCATTAACGGCCACATAAAAGACAGATTCTAACATCTATTTTCTAAATATTTTTGAAAATAATTTTACATTCAGACTAAGAGAATTATGATATTAAACATATACAGTTAAACCTTATTTTGTAACATTTCTTAGGCCTAAAAAAGTTTACAACATTTATAATGTTAAAACTTACCACAGTTCAGCCTCAATAAATTTACTCTGGTACAATATTCTTAAGATTAGCACTTTCATACCCTTATCATAATCACTTCTTTTCCAAAATATATTTTAATTAACATCACTTTGTAGATTATTCAGGCAGGTTAAGGTAACACTAGGAGAAATATTAACCTCTGATATCAAACGGTTGTAAATGACAAGAAAAAGCTTTATTCCAACCTTTCTGAAGATGTAACCAAGCATGCTGTATTAAACCTTCCTAAATGCTGGCTTCCTGCCCTTACATCCTCCCAATGAACAACTGTTTCATTCCCTTATCTGTTGTCCATACAGTGACTTCCTTTATTATATGTAGGTATGTAGAGATACATTTACATGTATCTATATTTGGTACATATTGCTTATATTATGTCATTCATTCACCTACCTGAAATGTTTCACAAAACTAGCACTTTAAATGATGTAAATTAATTCTCATAAGTTAATTACAAAGCAATGGGTGTATTGTTAAGAGCCTGTTATTGCACATTATGCAACACCTTATAATACAATTCTTACAGCAGTTGTTTTATGCTGTCTGTTCAGAATGTTATCATTTTCCAAGATGAACAGTTATTAGAACATCGGATAGAAAACTTTTCTTGTAAGATTTACTACTTGCTGATGTTAGATACGAGTATTTCTTCTAGTAACAGATTTACTTTGGATACCTGTATTTTGTAATAAAGGAATGAGAATTTACAAAACACTTACAGACATGTATGAATTATTCAATAAATTTACAAAGAAGAGAATACAGTTATAAACATTTGGAGAGCTTTGCCTAAGATGTAGTGCAAGTTGTTAGTTTAAATATATTTCAGTTTCTGTAATATAAGTAAGTGTACATGGATGTAAAGAGCTTTCTAGTGACTGCTTGGGTTGGCTGTTTCAAGAGGAAGGAGGGATGACTTTGACAAGTTAAATAGCATTCATACCTATAGCGAGACAGTAAAGAATGATGCAGTTTACATTCTTATCAATCAGCCTTATTATGAGGTTAGATACAATACATATTACTACCAGATGATTTATCTGTCACCTTGCTCTTTCTAATCATCTTACGAATGTTACCTTTACATTCAAACACAGTTAAAAAAAAAAACAAATCATTTATTCACTTCTAACCACCAATTATCTTAGCATAAAACTTGTCATAAATCACTTGAAACTATAGAATATATAGTCTTAAATTTACCTCTGACGTGCAATCTTCAAATCGAATGGCATATCCCACTTGATCTCCCAAATTCACACTCATTTCATCAGAAACACGCTTTGCTACTGACATAGCAGCAACACGTCGAGGTTGGGTGCATCCCACCATGCCATATTTACTGTAGCCTTCTTCGTGGAGATACTAAACATTAAAGAATAATTAAAACATCCTGCAACATTTCTCAAAAACTTTAAAAATTTTCCATTATGTTGTTTTACGCTTTTCCAACATAATTCTTATTAATCTGTCTTCAATGCAGTTTTATGCACTAGCATCACAGAATAAAACAATAAATCTAAAGATGAAACAATAACTATCTTCTAAGTAACATTTAAATCCTTCTTCATAAACAAATAATATTAAACTGCTAAAAATTAAAATAATAAATGGAACTCTGAATGGTTGTCAATGAAGTTTTGATCAGTCTCCCAGTATCGTCAGTTACCAGTAATAAGACCTGTTCAGTCTTTACGAAATATTACTGATCACAACGAGATGCAAGTAGTTGCTTGAATGACGATTTTGTCTTTGATAATCAGATAAAAGTAATATCAGTATGACCTTTTTATGAATAAAAGTCATGGAAAAATGTTCTAATATATTCAAATTCACATAAATTTATAACAACACCAATATTTCTGATACTAGATTAAATTACAATTTATCTTCTAATGTTAAATGTGAAAGATAATTTTAAAGATATTAAGAGAAAGTCTCCTTTATAAGCATTAAAAAAATTTTAAGCTTTTCTCTCACAAAAAAACTAGTTTTAAAATAAAAAAGTATATATTTTAAACCCAAATAATTATTTCACTTATTTAACTTGCTCATAAAAGGGTGTTATCATGTATGATTATTTATATATTCTCCATAACCAAACAAGGTTATCTTAGTTTCACTCGAACTAATTTCAGGTAAAAATCATGTAAGATTTATAAAGTAATTATATAAAACTCTTAGTTCATAATTAAGGTGTTGTGAAGTGACTACTCAAAAGAAACATCAGTACTTCAAGATTATAATACAAAAATACATTTTCATCCATACTTGTGTCAACTGCGTTGTTTTCCCTGAACCAGTTTCTCCAACAATTATGACAACACTGTTGTCTCTAACAATAGTCAGCAGCTCCTGACGAACAGCAAATACTGGCAAGTACTGGCGTTGTTGTAAAATGGACTTCTTCTTAGCAAACTCACTTGAAGCTTCATCCTTTTCTTGCATGTGCTTGGCAAATCTATGATCAGCTTTATAATCTGTGTCACCATCTTCATTTACTTCTTTACTCTAATTATCACAATAAAAACATAGTATATTAACAATAATAATAACTTAACACATTGAAATACTTCTTAATTGAAAGAATAATATTACTCAATTCACAACAAGTGGTGTCCATTAGTTATAGTTATGATGAACTGATCCATGGTAAGATCATAACTTTTAAATGATGTATAAGAAAATCTTAAACTACCAAGACCAAAGTTACATGTAGTGATGGTGTGTATGTGTGTGGGTGCATGCTTCAGTATGTTGGCATTCTGTAATCTAATATTTTGTTCATTTTAGCCATAAGGAACATCTTTACGGGTGTATAAATGGTTTCCACGGACTAATGAAAAAAAAAGAATTCCAGGACAAAACCGTAATTTTCAAGAATCCAATTTTCTGGTTTTAACAGAATGTTTTATCATACTTTATAAAAAATACAGTAACAGCTGTAAAAAATGTTCCAGCAATAGCAGTAACACATGAATTATTAAACAACACTTATTCAAGTAAAAAACAACAACAACAAAAGATTGAAATAAACTGTTTAAAGAAGGTCTAAGTGACTTCATGTTACTGAACAAAGCACTAATAATTTCTTCATAATTTACAGTTCCATAAAATTACTTCAACTTTACCAAACTTCAGTTTAATAACAAGTTTGTTTATTGTTAAGCACAAAGCTACACAATAGGCTATCTGTACTGTGCCCACTGGGGGCTTTCCTAGCTTCAGTTTATTAACAAGTGTCAAAAGACAGATGACACAGAATGATTTCTGCATTCAAGATCTCTGTTATCAAATTTTGTAAGTGCACCAAAAATTAGCAGGAAATCATAGTAGCCTAGTAATGTGTAATAAAAATCTTTATTGATGACCAAAAGTTTAGTTTTAGGTTAATAATTATGAAATATATGCAAAATACAGAAGCATGCTACCTTTACAACAAAATATAGCACACTAAGAATTTACATAAAAAGAAAATTAAAGATACATATTTTCTTAATGATAGACCTTTTCGTCTTCTTTTTTGATACCCATAATGTCACCAAGTTTTGTTCCAGCTAGTTCCCATTCTTTCTTCTGGGCTTTACGACGCTCCTTTTGTTCCCGAAAGTGCTTTACGATTGCACTTCCCTTTCTTGAAACAATAGCCATGTCAGAAGTAGGATCCTATAAATAAATGAAAGAAACAACTTAAAAAATTCCCAACCAAATACTTGGAAAGCATGCAACATCTTTGCATTCTACTGTTGATCAGTGTGAACTTTTTATGAGAAAGTTAAAGATTTGAACCACAACCCCCCAAAAAAATATTTTCCATGTTAAAAAAACAATTATAGATGCAAAATGTTTGCCCATGGAACTAAAAAAGGAACTCATATATATAAATAAATATTTTGTGTGTGTGTCTATTGTAAATTGAACCATATTATTGTGCAAGCAAGAAGTTTTCTTTTTACATTTTGTCAAATTTTGCATCACTTGTTCAGAATGCCCCAAACCCATTTTTTGGTCAATTTGATTTTTGTTTTATTTGTTCTAGATATACCAGTACTTTCGTTTTAGTTCTGCTACAATCTCAATTCACTGATAAATCCCTCTTTTGTTTCTTTTTTCTCAAAAATTACTACAGTTCAACCATCAGTAAATATAAAAAAAAGCTGGAAACATCAAACTGAAATTCTCAGAAATTTAACACTAAAAGAATATCACTTTGAAAGATGTATTTTTTTGTTGTTGTTTCATGAATCCTTTCAGAATTTTAGAATTATGTAATTGATTAAAAAAGAAATTACATAATCTACTAAATAGTACTAAAGTAAGCTAGTAAATAACCATATTGTATCTTTGAAGCTGTTTTATAAAATAAAAATTAAATATTCCCAAAGGTATATAATTAGTTTTACTTGTTAAAACATATCACCACACACATGATGAGAGAAAAATAAAAGTGACTTTCCTATTGACTTCTTACCAGAGGAAAATATTAGTTCAGGCTGTTTGATGAACTACAAACCTTAACTGGCAACATGTAGTCAAAAAATAATGTGCTCCATTCAATAACAACAATATATATAATTGAATAAGTATGTACAAGCTGCCCAGTGTCAGATAACAACACGAAGAATTAAGTTGTGGCGGATTGCTACAAGTTCTTCAAATACCTATAGAATGATAGGTTTCTTTTTGGTGAGTGTAAAACACGTAAATACACCAGTTTGATTAACAATATATATACCTTGACAGGAATTATTGGTTCTGGTTGTTTTGTAAATACAATACGTCCATCAAGAAATGGAGGCACCAGGTTATGGACAAGTAAATGGACTCTGGCTTCATTATCCTCTTCAAAGTCTTCATCAAACTCAAGTTTTTGAACAACTCCACTGGTTAACATTCGATTAGTCTCCCATTTTTCATTATCCTAGAAAGAAAAATACATGCAAAATATTAAAATATGAAAGAATAACATATTCTGTACAACTTAACAGAAAAACAAAATAATTCTAAGCATAATTTACAGTTCCAAAAAATATAATGATTAACCCGTTACTTGCCGTGGCCATTTTGTCCTATTGTGAGGGTAAAAATCACACTTGTGAATTGAAAAAATGATAGAGAACTTATCTTTTATTGGATTTCAGATTTTATTTTTGTAAATAGTAGCATAACATTCAATTATTTGTACAAAATTGTATTATTTAATGTAGTTTAACGAGGAATTTAATGAAATAATTCCTAAAATACGTTTTAGACTGTAAATAAGTGCCCTCAAAGAAGAAAATTGTTTTTCAAATTTTTTTAAAGGTTTTTCCTTCCACTTCAGCACTGGTCCTGCCATCTGTGATTGGTATCTAAACCTTTTTCTAGTCTGTTTTCT